GCAATTTTAGCTTTAAGACAACTTTAGACAAACTATATTTTTGCCGCACTTAATGAGTTATTTTTACTTTTTATTCAAACTGAGGCTCTGAGAGGGAAAACATTTGTTTTTCATTGTTTTGTAATTAGTGAAACTTAGCGTTGCTTAGTTTACGGATGATCCCATAACTAATTAGCACTTGAACAATAATCAATACTTTTTTCTGGATACTCGGGATTGGCACTTTTGCTAAAAGGTTATCGGCTGATGTCAAAAAGTGATACTTCCTGGAGATATTCTGTGACACCAATGTATGTACTATGTATATATCTATGTATAAAAGTAATGCATTAATGTTGTTTCTTACAAGTCCTGCGACTACAGATAGTGCTAAAAGATCAATCTTGAAATTAAAACTAAATGTAAAAAAAAGTGAATAAAAGTATAAACAGCTACAAAAAGTTATTTTAATAATTATAATTAGTACATTTAATCAGAATTTTAGTTTGAACTTTTTGTTTGTTTGTTTGTTCTTTATTACATCTTTGAACATTTCGTTAATATTTTATAAATCTTACATTTACTTTATATATATGTAGGGGAGACCGGGGCTAGTTGGCTCGGTTTTTACTCTATGAGCTCTGTAGCCCTAATAGCACACTTTTTTGAAAATATTAAAGTGTAGTCTCAAAGCGTATGAACTTGGGTAACTTATAAAAGTTTCATGGATTTACAAAAAAAAATTCTTGGGGCCTTACGGGGCCCTCAAAAAAAAAAAAAAAATTGCGCCAACTTACCCCACCACGGGGTAAGTTGACGCAAACTATAAACGTGATTATTAATGTATTATTAAGTGCAAAATTAATAGAAATTTTTTACCTATTAATTTTGGCAACAATTTAAGCTAATAATTTGATATTATTTTTAGCTTGTGCTAAATATTAGTACGTATAACAGCCAAAACAGCAGCCCTCTTTTTACCTGTTACAAAAAACCTAAAAAAAAAATTTTTATAATTTTTTTGTAAGAATAAGTTTTTTCAATATTGCTAAAAATTAAAAAAATTAAAAAAATTATTTTTATAAAAATAAATATTTTTCTCCATAGTAAATGCTATGAGCCAACTTACCCCGTAAAAATTTTGTCAACTTACCCCGAAGGCTTTTTTTTCAATAAACAGTCTATAGATCCTGAAAAACGGCAACTTTTAAAAAAAGTCAAACTGAATATAGTAAACCAATTGTGGCTAGAACTTTTACAATAATTTTTTTTCCATTTGACTAACTATTTTCTTTGTAAAGTAAAAAGGAAGCGATGTTTCAAAAGTTACGTTTTTGTCCAAAAAACACTTAAATCTTAATATCTCCCATGCGCATGCGCGAATCCTGACAATACTACATTGAATGATGAAACAGTCAATTAGGAAGATTCTGTGTAATTTTTATCACTTTCTGATGAAAGGCTTTAAAGATAAACGCAATTCGTCAACTTACCCCTGCGGCCAACTAGCCCCGGTCTCCCCTATATACATATATATATATATATATATATATATATATATATATATATATATATATATATATATATATATATATATATATATATATATATATATATATATATATATATATATATATATATATATATATATATATATAAAAAGAACGAATATACTGTTACATTATACTAGTAATGAACTTAAGTGTTTTCTATTTTTATAGAATTTTCTAAGATTACAGATATAAATGTTTTTAATAATTGAATATTTTCATGTATGGGTTGCTCTTAAAATAACATTTTGAAAAAAACCTGCTCTTACCCCTTTAATTTGTTCTATATAATCTAAAACAAAAGGTTTAAAATTGTTTTAAACAAAAATTATTTTAAGGGCAATTCAAGACTAAGAACCGGCGTAAAATTCGTTAAAATTCGAACTACAAAGTTTATTGAAAGGCGAAGTTGACTTTGGCTTTAACTTCGGTGGCAAAGTTGAAATGGAAATTCGGCTTTCAGTTAAATTCGGTTACAATTTCAAATTTTCAATTTCATTTAACTTTCAGCTAAAATTCGAACGCTATTAAAACTTTTCAATTTATAAAGAAGAAGAATTATAAAACATATTATATTTTTTATTTATATCAACCTGTTTCTATTGGTTACAACGTTCTTTTAACTTTTTAACTCCGAAAAATATTTCTTAAAAAAAAATAATCAATTTATGTAAAAGAAGTTATTCTCAAAAAACTTGAAAATAATGACTTTTTTTATTTTTAGCTTAAAAAAAATAGTTTTTATGCATTTACATCTGAAAAAATTATTTTTATGAAAAATGGTTTTCATTTTTAAATTTTTTACATAATTTTGCTTACTTTGAGTATTAGGTGGACATACTTTATAAAAATATTTTATTTTCAAAATACTTGGGACCTGCCAATTCTTTTTTCAAAATATTAGGGCCCTGTGAAATTCTTAAGGATTTTGAGCTACCTAAACATATTTTTTGTTCCAAAATATTTCAAATTTAGTATTATATAGAAGAAATTAAACGGGTAAGAGCAGGTTTTTCTCGAAAAAGTTGTTTTAACAGCCACTCTAATGCATATGTTTGTGTATATCTTAAAAAATTGTTTCCCTCGTTAATATTCACTTATACCCAATATATATGTTGCATGTTTATAAACAAGAGTCTTTTGTAGTTTTTTTTTTCAAAGTTAATAAACATGTCATACAAGATATCAGTTATACCTTGTATCAGGTTATAATAATCTAATACAATGTATCAGATTTTTAAAAACCTTGATGTTTGAGTTAATTTTATCTAAGTAAAGCCATGATATATAAAATACCGAAACAAATATTGTGAGTTTCAAAAAAGATGCCACAGATGTAATCAGTGGCGTACCTACGGAGACGGGGGGGAGGGCTCACCGCCCCTGGTGTCATTCACTTTTGGGTGACACCCAATTTATTAATATCTTATATTTTATTTTGGTTTATAATTAAACAGTCTTACATAAAAAAATAAGTAAGTATTTATTTACACGACCTACGAAATGCTGAATGCTGAAAAATATCATTATTTAGAAAATATAATCGCTTAGCTTTCTTCTTATAATATAAACAAAATGAAATAAAGACTTAATGTTGTCTAAATTCTTCATAATCAAAACATTTTCAAATTTTGTTTGGGTTTGGATAACTTTGTGTGGGTGCGATTTTAACCGTTTTTCACTTTATCAGCTTTTCTAAATACTCCTTTTATAATTTCGTATATAAAAATAATTACATATAATATATGGGTGACACCCTATTTGCTGCCCCGGGTGACTTCATCATGTAAAGACAATTAGATAATAATTACAGTTGTTTGATAATAATTGTTAGATAATAGTTGTTAGATAATAGTTGTTAGATAATAGTTGTTAGATAATAGTTGTTAGATAATAGTTGTTAAATAATAGTTGTTAGATAATAATTACAGTTGTTTTCAAACCTTAAAATGTACTTTCAAACCTTATAATGTAGGGTCATGTTTTCCAATGAACCAACATTTTTCCAGTTTGTCTCTTACACTAGGCATGTTAGAAGACCCGTCAATGAGCGCCACAATATCAGATATGTATTCCCTACTGTAAAACAGGCTCCAACTACGATGGTTTGGAGCTGCTTTAGCGGAGCAGGCCGGCGCGGTATTTGGTTTATGCCGAAGTACACCACCATTAATGGAGCAGTGTATCTCAATATCCTTAAAAAAAAACATATGGCTATATGCTCTGCATATGGTTAGTAGCAACTGCACTACTTTTCAGCATGATGGAGCTCCCTGCCACCTCACTGGAGCAGTTAGCCAGTGGCTAATGGGTCAACACATCGATATCTTAGGACCTTGGCCTGGCTCCAGCCTGGACCTTAATCCAATAAAAAATTTATGGATGATGATGAAGCGGAAAGTTGCTACGAAGAATCTTAGTTCCGAAAACACCCTTAAGAAAGCGATTATGACTGTATGGACTCAAGAAATAACACTGGAATATTGCCAAAATTTAGTTGATTCAATGCCTGAGAGGATAAGGGCTGTGATATTGACTTTTGAGACAATCATGCCTTTAAGATGCTTATATATATATATATATATATATATATATATATATATATATATATATATATATATATATATATATATATATATATATATATATATATATATATATATATATATATATATATATATATATATATATATATATATATATATATATATATTATATATATATATATTATATATATATATATATATATATATATATATATATATATATATATATATATATATATATATATATATATATATATATACGTTACTTTTATAGTTATCATATGTATATATATGTATATATATATATATATATATATATATATATATATATATATATATATATATATATATATATATATATATATATATATATATATATATATATACAAATATTTTCTACTTTTAAAAAACGTTTAATATATGTTCAGTTGGTTCTAATTAACTTCATTAACTATTTAGGTTGGTAAAAACACTTTTTTAAATATTATGTTCTTAACATACATAAACATCGCTTTTTATCTATATGTCAGTTATTCATAAAAAAAAGATTGTTTTTAGCTTATTAAAGTTCTCAATGTTAAATGCTCCGTGTTTAAAATTTATACCATTTAAACACGCAGCATTCAAACCGTACATGTTGCAGCCATGGTGCAATGGCTAGGGTTAGGTTCAGGTTTTAGGATGAGGGTTAGGATTAGGGTTGAGAAGCAAAAAAAGAGATTCAAGGCACAACGCAAGTACTGCGCATATTATGCATTATTGGTAAAGAAGGAGGTGTGAGCTTTTTAGTTAAATGCTCTTCGGTGGTGTTCTGTGGTAAAACTGTAACCATGTTTTGATCACAACGTTGTGTGATCCTAACCTTTCTCAAAAAATAAAACGGTCATGACGAAAAAAAAAATGCAGTAGCGAACAGAGTTACTCGTTATTCATTTGGAATACTATAAACATTTCTTTAAAATTAATATTTAAAATCAATCAAGTCCAATCTCTTAAACCAATCAAGCCAAATCGTTAAATTATCAGTTGTTACCCAAACTTTATTTGGCGTACTCATCTTCGAATGTTTTATTTTTCACTTTATGTAGAGTGTATATAAATTGTAAGACGTCTTTCATAGCAAGTATAAGTATTATCGAAATAATTGCTATAATTAGATATCTTATGACTTCATCTTCGTAAAAAAATTCTTTCAGAGTTTGTTCGGCATCAGTATCAACCTAAGTAGTAAATAATATACATATAAATATAATAATATATAAACAGTAAATAATAAATCAATAATCCCAAATCTTAATTATCTTGAAAATACAATTTTATTTTTAAACACCTATCATTCAGCTTTATTGATATTGTTTATATAAACGAAAATTTAACTTGTATAAATAACAACATTTGACAGCCTATGACAATATTTTACTACATAAAGCTTACAATAGGAATTTCCTGATACAAATCCAGTGCGTATAGTAGAACTTCCTGATAAGAGTATTGTACACATTTAGAAACGTCATCATTTCCTTCAGAAGCCAATAAGTCAGTACCGTTAACAGAATATGTTAAAATTGGCGAAACAACATTTAATATCTGTACCAAAACAATGTTTGTATACTTTTTGTTATAATCTGTACCCAATAAAAAATCCAGGTTAATAACTCCATATTCAGCTTTGTTCATGTTAACGTCGTATAGTATTTCTTCGTACGAGTTGTATTCTAATTAAAATGTATTTATTTATTACAAATTAAATTATATTATTTAAAAATTAAATTTATAAAACTTTTTATTTTTTAATATTTGAACTGGTGAGAATTGGCATGGTGTAAGTCAAAAAAAAGAATGGTGTAAGGTGTATTTTTATGTAAAAAAACTGGCTGTTTTTTTTTTTTTTAGTTTGTAAAATTTTCTTTACAGTAAATCCAATAAATCCTTAGAAATCTCAAATTAAGGAAACGTTGACATACACCAATCTGATTCTCAACTTATTATTGATGAAATAGTTTAACAATCAATTGTTGTTTTTTTTCAATTCTGATTCATTCCTAATAAAGCTTCAAGCAATTACTTTTAAGTTGGAATTTACAAGAAAAAAAAGCTAAAAAACAAGTGAACGGTTGACGGAAGACTTTAAAAGTTGGAGTTTATCAGGAAAACATGAAGATGGTAGAGAGTCCAAAGAGTTGAAGTGCAGGAAAAAAGACCAGATGAATAAAAGTTTTAGAGCATGCATGGACAGGGTAAAATAATAATATTTAGCTGAATGATCATGCGAGTTTCAGTTGATTGAACTAGAGATGATAGCTCCTTTGAGCAAGCAATACTTAAAAACATTGGTTTGATTATTTATCAAACTAAATAGGAAAAACATTTTATCTAACAAAGTACTAAAGATTTAAGTGAGCATGAGAAGTAAGTGTAGATTTTTAGTTGTAATCACTGGTTAGTTACTTGGCTCTCACTACACCAGAGACTTAAACACAACACAAACATACATAAAGTATCCTACTGATGAGTGGACACCGTTTCAGAGGTTTAGAAAAAATACAAACATACATGTAGGAAATTATGGATGAGTGAACACGGCACTAAAGGTTCAGACAGAATACAAATATACATATAGCATCTTAATGGTAAGTAAACACAGTGCAAGATGTATAGATAGATCACAAACATACATATATAGTAAATACTGGTGAGCTAAAACACACTTTCAACTAAACAAAGACCACAACAAAAAAAAGAAAAAATAAAGGTACTATTTATCATAATAATTATTATTTAACCGAGTGTCAATTCTCACGTTTTTCTTGTGGAAATAGACTATATTTAATTATAGTGTATTTGTACGTTATTTGTACGTTTACTAATAAAAATGGAAAAGTTGTCCAATTTAATGAAAATTGAAAAAATTAGTTTTTATACTTGATTTAAAAATTTAAAGATAATTAAGCTTAGTTGAGAGTACATTCGTCAACTGACTATTTAGTGATAGCGCAGTGTAACTTAATACTTAACAGTATTGTGTAAATATATATAGACTATCTAAGGATAGGCGCGGCATAGTGTATATACATCAACGAGGGTTATGACGTACTAATATAGGTTGCAATATAAATAGGTTAAAGTTGGGTAATTTTGACAGTGAGATAATTTAAATTAATACTATTTGTTTGCTCGGGAATTTAATATATATTTGGGTATTGTAGCAAAGTAAACTTAATAATTTTCTTAATAATTTAGGTTTAATTTTTTTTTTTTTTTTTGATTATAGGTATGTTAATTTATGATTATTCGCTTTTTTAAATATCTTTTTGATGATTTTAATCAAAAAAAAAAATTTTCATTAATTTTCAGTAAAAGTAGTTTTTTAATTTATTAAGAAAAAATCCGAAAAGGATCTAAACAACACGTTTGTTATATAAATGAATGTGTTATATTTGATTTTAATTTTTTTTTTTTATAGAAAATTAGACATTAAATCTATATAATTTCCCGCTCGTTTTCTTGACAAAAAAATTAAGAAATTTCTAATTTCTTAAATCCCATCTTCCATTGATTTTAAATGGCTTCACGCATATAATAAGATGATGCCTTGAACTCTTTTGACATTTTTTACTATAAAAATTTGAATATTTTTTAAAAACCTTTTAAAATTATTGCTATTAATTGGTTCTAAATTTTCCTAAACAAAATGTTCACATTCACTGTAAAAAAGTACGAAATTTGAATTTTAAAAATTTTATGGATGTTTTGCGCTGATATTAAATTAAGTCACATACTTAATCAAAGGTATGAAATCTTTAAAAATTTTAAAGATTTCAGTTTATCAATGAAACGGTGAAAAAAAATTAGGTTTTCTAATGTTAAATCACAAAGTATTTGATTATTTTAAATTAAAATGATCAAATACTTTGTTATTTATAATTAGAAAACTTTTCAATACAGTAGTTTAATAGTAAAAAGTTTAAATCAAACAGTTCTACAAAATCAAACTGTTCTACAAAATCAAACAGTTCTTCATAATCAAACTGTTCTACAAAATCAAACTGTTCTACAAAATCAAACAGTTCTACAAAATCAAACTGTTCTACAAAATCAAACAGTTCTACAATATCAAACTGTTCTACAAAATCAAACAGTTCTACAAAATCAAACAGTTCTACAAAATCAAACTGTTCTACAAAATCAAACAGTTCTTCATAATCAAACAGTTCTACAAAAGGTTATGAGATTTTAAGTAGCAAGTTTTTAATATGTGAGTTAAAAAAAGCTGTAATCAAAGTTTCGCTTTTTTTTCAAATAAGTTGTTATAATTTTGAGCAAGGCGTTTGCAACGCCCTAAATACGCAAACTGTGTGTTAAACTTATTGAAACAGACAGACTTTATTGCATTCAGGGTTAAAGTTATTATGATATTTAAAATTTATCAATTCGTTTTTTGATAAAGTTGTCCTTCAGGGTTATTTCCAGAGTTGTACTGCGTCATTTTCATGCTAGATCGTTAATTTTGCATTTAAGTTTAAAAGTCTGAAACATTTTTTTTAAGTGGTATATTATACATATAACCACAGGAAATTGATTTTCAAAACTTAATGGCGTTTTTTGAAACGAAATTATTTTGCTCTATTTGCCTCTATTTTTCTTGATCTAAATAATAATGAATTAAATGTCTTTTAAAAGCTGCAAAACAATGCCACAAATATTTTTGCTTAGTTCTAATAGCAGGACTGATAAAGTTACTTAATTAGATCGGTGTAAAAGATATAATAATGTATATATATATATATATATATATATATATATATATATATATATATATATATATATATATATATATATATATATATATATATATATATATATATATATATATATATATATATATATATATATATATATATATATATATAGTATCGGACAAAACAAGTGCAACCAAACAATTTAGTTTCTTTATATAAAAGTACTGCATTTTTTCAATTTAGAGAAATAACTATGTAACTGTTTAGAGACAACGTTCTTCAAGTTTTATACATCACAAAGTTCATTATTTGTACACGAAAATTAATAAATTAATCAAAAGTATTAAATAAAGTTGATTTCCTTCTGGAAAAAACAATTGCAACTCCACAAAATGTTGACCAAGCTGTATTTCGCTACCAATATTTTGTGGCAAACCTTTTGTTGTCGATCACAGCCTTGCATCTTTGAGACATAGATTCGATCAGGTGAACAATGAAACTTTGTGGAATCGCTGCCCAGGCCTTTTGGGTTTGTCCAAACAGTTGATCCCTATTACGAACACCTTCACGAACCTTACTGTGGAAGATTGTCAACCTTCTGCGGTTGACAATCTTCCACAGTATTCGATAGGGTTAAGATCCGGAGATTGAGGCGGCCAATCCATCACCGATAGATTGTTGTCTTGAAACCACTGCTTGATTACTTTTGCAGTGTGTTTTGGATCATTGTCTTGCTGAAAAACCCATTTTATCGGCGTATTTCATTCAGCATGAGGTAACATAAGATCTTTCAGGATATTTTTATACATGAAACGGTTGATTATTCTATCAATTCGATGTATTGGACCTAGACCGTTAGCAGAAAAACACCCCCAGACCATAACATTGCTTCCACCTTGCTTCACGGTCTTATGGCAGTAACGTAAATCGAGGCGTTTTCCGGCCGGTCGACGTACACGGCAAATGCCATCGCTTCCAATGATGTTGAACTTTAATTCATCACTGAACAGGACAGTTCGCCATTTCTGCACATTTCAGACAATATGATATATAGCAAACAGGAGTCTTTTCTTCTGGTTCTTTAGTGAAATCAGCGGTTGCTTTGCAGGGCGTCGAGAAAACAATCCGGCTTCAACAGCACGTCGTCTGATTGTTCGGTCCGATACAGGCAGCTCTAATTGCTTTTGTATCTCAACTGATGATTTCCACGGATCCTTCTTGACGGATCTGAAGATCATAGAATCCTCTCTAGAAGTGGTGGAACACGGTCTTCCACCTTTGTTATCTTCTGCCACCTTTATGTAGAACGATATTTGGAACATAGTCTTGATACAGTCCATTTTTTCACGCGATATTTATCGCATATACTTTTTTGTGATATTCCACTTACGTAATTGCCAATATTTTTCTTTCTTAGTTTCACTCTAAGACTGTCGGGAGCCATTTTTGCACTTGAAGTCATAAAAATTATAAAAAGAAATAATCACGCTTCTCAAGGCTTTCCATATTACATTAACCTTGTGATGATACAATAATGCTCTGTGGAACTCAACGTCTGGATACTTCCTTTAATTATTAAAAAACTTCCAGATTTAAGAAAATGAAACAAACGAAAAAAGTTGCACTTATTTTGTCCGCTGCAAAATGGCCCTTGTTAACGTAATTTTGCCTGTGTGCTGTCACCTGTCAGCTGATTGCTCATGTCATGGCATGCTATGACTTTAGACTCCTGAACTGTTTGCTGTGGTAGTATAGTTTGTTTCGTTTTTAAGACATGTAAAATTAGGAACACTTTTTAGCATTGTTTGATGTTGGTTGCAAATATATATATATATATATATATATATATATATATATATATATATATATATATATATATATATATATATATATATATATATATATATATATATATATATATATATATATATATATGTATATATATGTATATAGTTCAGCTTTACCCAATCATTAGGTATATTTATTAACAAATATTAAAGTAAAATAACCTTTTAAGTGTGTTGATTTATAGCTTTTGGTTATAGCATTGATATCCACAGAATCTTTTAAAATAGCTATCTAAACAAAATAACCGCAATATAATAAAGTTATTATGATTATTAAAAAAGAATATTCGTTTTCATTAATCATAAAAATAAAGTAAATCTAGTAGTAGTTTATTATTACATCGAAACTCTTTAAGTTACAAACAAATATAAAATCCCAGACTTAAATAACAATACTACAAATACAAAATTATGCTGTATATATCAATAAAATGTTTTTTAGTTTTCAGTTTAATTTAAACCGAATATACTATTCTTATGGTTTCCTAAAAAAAATTCTAACACTGGTGACAAACACTCAGTATTTATGGTGACTACCACGTTTATCATAAAAGTGCATTAATCAGCTTTCTAAATTTAGTATTTTCTTTATTTCTTCTATAAGTTAGACAGCATCTTTAATAATTTATCTGAAAATACACGACTGTGAAGGTGTCTGAATATCACTTTAAGCGTTCTCAACTCCCTTTGATGGATTCTCCCAGAAACAGATAGCAATCAACAATTTAGATTTTGAGAGTTATCCTGCTGTTGTCTTCCGGTGATTATTTTTAAAGTGGAACAGCTCTTCTCTTCCTATGTGACTCATAAATTGTACAAGATTCTTTATCCAGATTGTTTTGTATCTTTGTGTAGTGTAAGCACATTTCTTATAGGTAATAATAAGTTATTTCAAAACGTTTGCTGATTTATTTAAAAAAATTACTTTTACACTTTGCAAAAATGTATGCTATTATTTCAAATTTTGAATTTCTTGAAAAGCAGTCATAATTAATTTTTCCTCAAAAGCACTTATAACTAATATAAATGCTATTGTATTTCTATATTATTTGACTGTCATCAGGTGAATATGGATTCATATATAAATGTTAGAGTCGCTCAATCAGGCAGCCTATATGGTCTAAATCTTGCTCATTTCCATAAACATCTATAAAACTCTAGAAAATTCTAGAAAGTTTCAGAGATTTCTAAAAACATCCAGAACAGTCCAGAAACTTCTAGAAAGTTCCATAAGGTTCAAGAAAAATTTTGGCCTCATAAAGTTGTAAATGCTTCTGCCTTGAAATATTAGTTATAAACTATTTTAAAAATTTTGTGTTGTGGGTGTTATGGGTTAACTTTTTTGAAAACTTGTCAAAGTATATTTATTTTATTAATTTAAAGCAAATTTTAATTGATTTATGACAGAGGAAATTAATTACTTTACAAAAAGTTAAAAAGTAATAACCCTAATATATATATATATATATATATATATATATATATATATATATATATATATATATATATATATATATATATATATATATATATATATATATATATATATATATATACATACATATATATATATATATATATATATATATATATATATATATATATATATATATATATATATATATATATATATATATATATATACATATATATATATATATATATATATATATATATATATATATATATATATATATATATATATATATATATATATATATGTATGTATATATATATATATATATATATATATATATATATATATATATATATATATATATATATATATATATATATATATGTATATATATATATATATATATATATATATATATATATATATATATATATATATATATATATATATATATATATATGTATATTAAACAAAAACACGATATTTTATAATCTTGACATGTTTCGTAGTTAACGTACTACCTTTTCACAAGATAAAATTACAATGTAAAACTCTGGATATAAATATAAAATCAAAATTTGAAGACATGAAATTATTTTAATTTTTACTACTAACAAACTACAAAACAGCTTATGTATAAAAGATTCACTTCCTAAACTGCTCAAATCCAAATTTTCTTGTAATGAATGTAATGCAAGTTATATTAGAGAAACCTCCAGACACTTAAAAACAAGAATTCATGAGCATCTTATAAGTGATAAACAGTCTTGGGTTTATAAGCATTTAACTTCATCTGTTAATTGTAAAAATCTAAGTAACTGTAATTGTTTTCAATATTTGGATACTGCTTCAAACAAAAGCAAAATGAAAATTAAAGAAGCTCTTCATATTAAATCGGGAAACCCATCTTTAAATAAACAAACTGTTCATCATAATATAAATTTGTCAATCTAGTTTGTTTGTTTTTTAATTACTTAAATTTTTTTTTCTTTGTTGCTATAACGGTATTATAATTTGTATTATTAATATTATAACTTTTATTGGTTTGTAATAATTCTATTTGTCTGTTAATACTTCTCTGTAATGTTTTCAAATTTTGATTTTATATTTATATCCAGAGTTTTAAATTATAATTTTATCTTTGGAAAATGTAGTATGTTAACTACGAAACAATTCAAGATTAAAAAATATTGTGTTTTTATTTAAAATATGTATACATTTATTGCTATTACGTTGCTCAAAAAATGTGTTTTACAAAATAGTGCTCAATATTCTTAAAAAAGCAGAACCGAAATAAATATATTAATGTTCCTTTTTTATCAATTTTTTTAATTGACATAAAAGATTGGTAATTTTGAACTATTTCAGTGTGTATTTTTTATTTTTTTAAAAATTTATTTTACACCTGGCGCCAACAATTTTTTACAAATTTTTAAATTCTGATTAGTTATTATATAAACCATATTGTGCTGCAGTCATGTATGTAACATATTTTATAGCTAAGAAATCTTGTTCCTATTGGATCACCTCGAACCTAGTACTTTTTTAATTAAAGCAAAAGAATCAAGCTTAATCGATCAACCGCTAAAAAAAAGTCAAAATTTTTGCGCGAAATGTTGAACCCTAAAAAAGGTTATGCAAGCTTCTGAAGAATTTTTAAGAATATGTAATGGAAAATATTTGATTTAAAAGACATTTCGCATATCTTGTCTCAAAGTACTATAGTAGCTAAGGAACTTACCTTTAGTTAAAAGACAACTAACCATTGTTTGATGCTAAATTTATAATACTTTTTTTCACCTGCATTCTTACCATTAAATTAAAAGTTTTTAAGTTTAAAAAGAAAATACAAAAAAAAAAGTAGTCATGGAATGGAAAACTTCTTAATCGGTAAGCCATTAAAGATATCCTCAGTTAAGCTTCCTACCCGGGCTAATATTGTTTAGCACTTCTATTAATTGAGTTAAAAAAAATAGTTGAGAGAAAAAGCAACCTTTGGCTTTAAGAGCAGCTTTAGCAAACTTTACATATTTCACTTTTGTTTCATTCTATTAAAATTTGCTAAAAGTTCCTAATGAATGAAGGAACTAAACATTTTAAATTTAAGCGATGTGTGCTGCAAATTCTGATTTCAAAAAATAAATATATATCTAATTTGAAAAGCAGAAAACAAAGATAGACTATTACTTTGAGAAAAGAAGTATTGTGGAAGTTATGACAACAGCTGTAGGAATGGACATATCAATTAAAAAAATAACGCCAACCTTGATTAAGCTGATTTCTAACGCAAGCGTTGATATCTGTAAGCTGCCACTTTCCTACACCACAATTTTCTGAGTAAAAATTGATATAGAAAACAAAGATGCAAAAAATATCAAGATTCTTATTTAAAATGAAGTTATTCATAGTAAGTAAGTAACATAATAACAAATGAAGTTATTCATAGTAAGTAAGTAACATAATAACAAATGAAATTATTCATAGTAGTAAGTAACATAATAACAAAGCTGTTCTGTTACATTTTGATAGAAAGTCTTATCTAAACTCTCATCTAAACTCTTATCAAAACTCTTATTTAAAGAAATGGGTAATGCTAGTTTATGTGTTGACAATAAATTGATAAAGTTTATGTAATTTCTAACATACAATTTTTCTACCACTTAGTACTAGCTCACGTAGATAAACTAATAGACAGAATCTGCATTGTTTTAAGAAAAAGGAGATGAAAAAAAACTTATCATATGTTTTATTAGTTCTAAAAAAATGACGTTTCAATAAGCGCATTGTGACTTTAAGATTGCAGTACATTAAAGTGTTATGAAAATAAGAATCTGATACAGGTTTACGTTTAATTTATTTAAAGACCTTTTATTTTGTACTGATGGGATTATTAAATCTACTTAATTAAGTCTATTATTTCACATGCATCATTTAGCAAGCTTTTCAGTTGAAATAATTTTTTTTAATGTGTATTAAAATATGCGCATATGAGAGATTTCTATAGATTAGACTAAAAACTTTTGTATAATCGTAAATTGAGAGAAAGTGAATTGAATTAAAATTGTGAGTTTATACAAAATGTTTATTGCAGATGATTTGTTTGTTCAATGCGTCCAATATAATTTCTCCAAGACAATTTTTCATCTACTTGAAAACAGAAAAACTTCGTATATTGTTTCTTTTTTATTATTAAATGATTAATGAGCAACTCTGATGACACCCAATACATATCAGTGACCCTCAGTGGCGGATTGAGGTTTAGTATTGCGGGGGAGCCAAGTCAATGAATAGGGGCGACCGCGGTTGTCTTCAGTAATTTGATCTTATAATTTTTATTTATTTTTTTGATTGTTTTAGGGGGCGCCGTTAGACCGCTCTAGGGGGGCGTCGGGGGCAGCTCGCCCCTTCCCCCCCCCTCCCCCCATCCCCCACACCTTATACTAAATCCGCCACTGGTGACCTTAATATTTAATATAAAGAACTTTAAAAAGAAATTAAAAGCTAAGATTAAAAACTTTATTTAAATATTCATAATATATACAAAAATAAAAAAAGTATAAAAACCTTTTTATTTTGTATAGTCAAAAAAGAGTTTGTAGTAATTATTGCGCTGAATGTTCCTGTTAGTCCAGAAAATATGTAGAGCCCTATTATCATCCACAACAAAGATATAAACCGACCAAAATACGATTTCGGTACTACGTCACCATACCTAAAAAATCAGTTGTTATAGCATTAAATTATTTTATTTATATAACTAATCTTATATCTTCAAACTAAAAATTTTGCATAGTATATAAAACATGCAAAAAGAAGACGCGGTAGACAGTGTTTTGGTATTTCTATTTTGATGGTTAATTGTTTTTTTTTATTTTTTTTTTTATTTATTACTTAATTTTGTTTATTATCACCATATCATAGCAGATATTTGTTAACAAATTTTTTTGAATTAACTAAAAATAAAAATTTTAAATAAAACTTGCTGTGCAAATATCAAAGGACTTTTTTTTTCTTTTAATATTTTTAAATTTCATACTTAGCAAAGATTTTATGATGATTTCATAGGAAATATGTTGTTTTTTTTTTCAATTAATATGCTGAATAACCAGACATAAATTCTGAAGTATTTTTTTGCTCTTGCTAATAATGCCTTCTGCTAAATTTTTTATATTTCATAAGGAAATTTAAAAAAAAGTTTAAAATCTTTGTTCAGAGTTTTGTAATAATAACGAGCTGGAATGCGGAGTTCCAAATAGTAGAACCGGAGTTCCAAATTGTAGAACCGGAGTTCCAAATAGTAGAACCGGAGTTCCAAATAGGAATCCGGATATGAAAGGTACAAAAAAATTAATTCTTCATTGTTTTTGGTATCCTGGAGCTCTAAAAGATAAGAATGTTTATGGACTACTAATAGGAAAAAAGTTAAAACTTTTAGATAGGAGGAACTATCATTTTTTGAACATGGAGTTCTAAGGTATAATGGCGGCAAGGGCTCCGGGAATCCAGGATTTCGGACTTAAAAATAATAAGCTCCAAGTCATCAAATCACATAAAGTTTTTTCTTATAGCAGATCATAAGACAACAAACATGTTTAGAGCTTTTGGAGACAACAGATCTGGAAAAAATAAAGATATAAAGTCCATTTGGGACTCCGCATCCCTGATAATGAGGTATTAATACAAAGCCTACATTTAAATTAAAATAAATGAATGGAATAAATAAATGGAAATTTTTTTTTAATCTTTCAATAGTAAAACTATATAAAAATATAATAGGAAATACAATTAAAACATCGTTTAAAAACAATAATTTTGTTTTTTGATAAGAGTTTAGATGAGAGTTTAAATGAGACATTTTTTTTTGATGAGACATTTTTTTAGATGAAAAAGATTTGAGTATTCTGTTACGTCATTGTTTTAATTGTTTAAAGTTTATAAAAACTAAAAAGTTTGTTTTGTGTTCAGGCGCGTACTGGTGCATCGGAATATCAAAAAATTTCAGTAGACCCTTTTAAAAATTATACGAACTGTGCCCCTACCAAATAGGTATCTGTAGTTTCTGTTTAATTTAGTACTTTTATTTCATAATCTCATTTTTATTTTATTTTCTAGATTATTACATTTCTTTAGTTATACAAACTATTAAAACAATAACTTGAATAAATTGAAAATAGTTTATAATGTTAAAAATATATTAGATTTGGTGTGGTAAACTAAATTAATGTGATATACTTATATATAATAAAATAATAATATTAAAACAGGACTTTGAAATTAGTACAAAGGTCAATGTAAAAGTGGCCTACTTTTAGAATAATGAGATATCAATATGAGTATTGATTAGAAAAATGAGATATCGATATGAATATTGATTAGAACAAGATTAGATTAGATTAGATTAGATTAAAATTTATTAGAACAGTGGTACATGTTCTAAAGGACACGCAGGTTCATAAAATATGAAGGACTCTGACAACGTGCCCTACAATCACATAATACAAATGCTAGTTAATTTAAAATATATATTACAATTATATATAAGACCATATTTATAAAACAAAAACCAGTTAGCCGGAACAGTATTTTTCAAAGTCGATAGAGTTAATTTTAATTTTGAAGCTCTTTATATTTTTGGCATTCACGACGTCAGACGGCAAATTATTCCAAATATTAACAACCCTGAGTGAGAAAGAGTGTTTACGGACATCGAGTTTACATTTTAGTTTGCGTAATTTAAAATTATGTCCTCGAGTGTAAATAAAGTTGTTAAATAAAAAGAAACTTGATTTATTTAGGCAAACTAAGTTGTTCAGAATTTTGTAACATGTAATCATGTCTTGCTTAAGGCGACGAATTTCTAGTAGTTCCAAACCAAGAATACTAAGTCTACTTAAATATGAAACATTATTTAGGTTAGAAATTCTCTTGGTAAAACGTCTTTGTACTCTTTCCACTGTATTGTTCATTTTAGTGCGATTTGGCGACCAAACCGGAGAGCAATATTCTAAGATCGGTCTTTTATAATTAGTGTAGGCTTTAACGATAACACGTGGATCACGACTTTTAAAACATTTAAGGATTAAATATCCTCGAATGTTTGATGCACGGACGATATTTGAAATATAATTACTGTAATTCAAATAAGAATCCATGGTCACACCAAGATCTTTTGGGTTTGTAGACCAAGTTAAATTATGATCGCCTAATTGATAGTTGTAATTTATATCTTTACAAAATGAAGTAGGTGCTATTCTATGAGTAAAGCACTTATTATTGGCTATTTTTAATTGCCATTTTTTTGACCAGAGATAAACTTTATAAATGGCTACAGCAAGATCGTGACTGTAATCGGCATCCTTAAATGAACTATATAACTTGATATCGTCAGCATATAACATTAGAGAGCAATTAAGATCTTTTACTACAGAGGGTAGATTATTAATAAATAACAAGAATAACGTTGGACCCAAGACGCTACCCTGTGGAACTCCACTTAGGATGCAGGTTGGATTAGATAGTGAATTTCCAACCAGAACTCTTTGATATCTGTTAGAAAGAAATGCTGATATCCAATGAAGCAGATTATCTATTATGCCGTACATTGCAAGTTTCTTCAGAAGTTTTGGATGAGGTACAGAGTCAAATGCTTTTTGAAAGTCAATGTATACCACGTCAGTAATTAAATTGCTGTCTAAAGCTTTATTCCAGTCATTAGTTGACTCTAGAAGATTTGTGCACGTAGATCTTTTGGATAAAAAGCCGTGTTGATTAGGTGTTATTAGATTATTTATATTAAGATAATCAGCGATACTTGAACTAACAATACTTTCCATGACACGACAGCTAGTACATGTGAGAGAGATAGGTCTATAATTGTTAGCATCTGAAGTAGATCCTTTTTTAAAAATAGGGGAAACCGTAGCTTGAAGCCACTGTTTTGGTAACGAGCTTGACGTAAAACTTGATTCAAATATATATGAAAGCGGAATACATATTATATGTGCTAACTGTTTTAAAAGTATATTTGGTATACCGTCTGGTCCAAATGATGTGCTAGGTTTTAGATTTTTAAGTTTTTGATAAACTATCTTTGCTGAAACATCTACGAAATTCATCTTAATATGTTCACTAACAAAGGTATTTATTTTAGGCGAAATTCCGTCATCTACGGTAAAAATACTTCCAAAGTGTTTGTTAAACACTTCCGCGATCTCAACATTGGTAGTAGTAAAGTTGCTATTTGTTTTTAGAGGATATATTTTTTTGGGGTTGCTTAGATTTTTATTTACATAACTAAAAAACTTACTTAAGTTATTTTCTTTGACCAGTTTTAGTTCCACATTTTTGTGGTGTGTGGATATGGCTTTTTTACATTTTGATGCATATTGGATAAATGCCTTTTTGTGCAAGGTGGTCTTTGTGATTGACCATCTTTTCCATAGAAAAGATTTGCGAATTAGAATTTTATAAATATATTTTGGATAAGAACGACTTTTTTGTTATGGTATATTGTTCTGATTGGAACAAAACGATCAATACCTTTACGAAGATGATTAGAAAAGATGTTCCAATACTCTTCAGTTGTAAAAACAAAAGAAAAATCGAAGTACCAACTTATTTTTGATAAATAAGAATTAAAAGCAATTATATCTGTATTTTTGAAGTCGTAAAAAGATTCAGAGTTAGTTTCGGGCTGATAATTATTAAAGGTGTTTATATAAAAAAAGACTGAGTTATGGTCGCTTGTACTAAATGGACACTCAACGGAAATATTACTTAATAGGGAAATGATATTTGAGAAAACAAGATCAAAAATATTATTTTCTCGAGTGGGCTCCAGTACATATTGGTACATACCAAGATTATTTACCAAAGTTAAAAAAAGATTATGACATTTCTCAATTGGCGAAACATAGTTAACCCAATCAATTTTCGGTAAGTTGAAATCTCCGACAATGACAAATTGAGGAACAGATTGAGAACAATGAGATATCGATATCAGTTAAAAAAGTACAACTATTAAAACTTCAATAAATTTTATTACGTAGTACGTACCAGTCCTATTCGCGTTTTGTATGTATTATAAGGATTTTTTTTGTTAAATACCTAATAATTTATTAAAAAAATATAATTGCTATAAGTACCTTTATTATCTATTTATTCAGCATTGATCATAGTAATTTATGATATAATAAGATGCTCGTTGTCGAATTCAAGATTATCGTGAAAGCCAGATCAAGCAGTAATAAGAACTAGGCGTATCATATGATTTTTTTTTTTTTTTTTTTTTTTTTTGTAATGGAAGATTAATCAAAATAATAAAAAACAATAAAAGTGGCTCGCTTAAACAAAAAAATTATAACAAAAAACGTCTCAATAAAATTGATTCTAAACCCAAAAAAATTAAAAAATTTTTATCCATAAACTGTTTTAAGTTAGAATTTCACCGAACAGCAAAGTAATTCAGCGTTATATGAAATTGAATGTATTTCTGAAAAAGTTGTACCCAATACGCCCCTAAAATCACAAGTTCATATAATACTCAATGTTATAGCTGTTTTAAGTCAGAATTCTAGTGAACATCAAACAAATCAGAATACAGACGCAAATGAAATTGAATGTATTTCTAAAAAAGTTGTACCTAATTTGCGGATAAAATAACAGTTCGTATAACATCCAATATTGATTCAATACATTGTTTTTTTTTCACAT